TTCTATTATCAAATTATGCGTCATGGCCCTTGGACAATTTCTTGAAACGATTTAACGGACAGCATCGGGCAGTGCTTCTTTGTACAGTACTCCTAAACGTTGTGGCGTTGATTATTGATTGATATATTATACTATTTACATCAACACAGCCATTTTGACAATTTTAGTAGTTGTAAATGAACAGCATACTACACAACGTGCAATTATCTTGTCAAACATTGATATTAGGCTGCGGAAATGTTCTGTTTTCTGTAACTATGGCGACATCAATATCGATGAATCCGAGGATAAATACTACGGCATTCTATATGGGATAGTAGTGTGTAAGACATAGTGTGTATGGGGTAAGACATTTGGGCACAAAAGAGGCATCCTCCGCTTCTTGTTCTGTTTCTTTATGCTTGTGAATCAGAATTTCTGCTCGGGCTCGAAAAGTCAAAACAGAGTAATTTGGCCAAGAAGTTTAACATATCGTTCAACAACCACCAAATAGCTACATGTAATTCCCTTCCATTGATTTACCCACCTGAACTAGAAACAAGAAAACATTGAAGCAGAGCATCAAAGTTCCCCGCCATATGTGATGCCTCACAAACGCATAATTATGATGTTACTGAAAGGCATGATGGAGCATAATTATATTAACCACAAATAACACAACGCTGTTGTGGAAAAAAATATTATTTATTTTGAGTATTGGGCAATACAGTTGATACATTTGCATAGGGTAGGTCTATTTAAAAATAGTTTCTTGTTTAACGCCGCACTCAGCATTATTCCAGCCATGTGACGGAGGTATGTAAATAATCCAGTCTGGACCAGATCATCCAGTGATTGACACCAAGAGCATCAAACTACGCAATTGGAATATGATGTTATGCATCGACCAAATCGGCGAGCCTGACTACCCAATCCTGTTCGTCGCCTCTTACGGCAAGCGAGGTTGCTGAAGACCTATTCTTACCTGGGTCTTTATTTAAAAAGGAGATCGAAGGAAAATGGAAGCAATTTCTGGCACAAATGTAAACATGTGGAAATAGTATCAAAACTGCCAACAACATTGGCAGATGCACATACTCAAAAAATAGATCTCATTCTTTTTACACTTAGCATTTGGTTATAATAATGTAAATGAAAATACTAAGGGCTCCATATGGCAAAAAAAGTCATACTAGATAAGGTCTTTTTGTCACAACCACAGATGCACATACTCAAAATATTATCACGTAGTTGGAGAACATTTCAATACCGGGACTAATCAATAACGGAGATTCCTCGTCTCTTGTTTTACGTTTTTTGGTCAGTTTTTTGTGTATTTCTTTCTTTCAAAGAATAGTAATTGTGATCATGATGTGTTGAGTTACTTGGTTTTTTTCTATATACTGTTTTTTATCCAGTGTCAGTAACTGTTGTGGAATGTGGTTTACTTGTAACAATGACTGGTTTGAGTTCATATGATGATGATTGATTGGCTTGTCGTTTAGCGCCGCACTCAGCAATATCCCAGCTATATGACGGCGGTCTGTAAATAATCGAGTCTGGACCAGACAATCCAGTGCCTAATATCATGAGCATCGATCCACGCAATTGGGATCGACGCCTCTTACGACAAGCATAGTAGCCTGATATATATATACTGTTAAGATGTAACATGACAATTCATCCATACTACTAAACAGAAGTAAAACCGCTTGTCCATTCGGATCAATCTGACCAAGACCATTCCGCTGATGACAGTCAAATAATGCATACGAATCGAAATCCGTAAAAATTGCAATGGAGACATCATTAAAAGTTACCAAAAGTGACGGGGATATCAATATTGCTTTTTGAAATGATTCTATGAAATTTGTTTTCCCTGCTTCAATATTTGGAGCACCTGTGACGGAGCCATAAAACTGATCTGTTATGTAGACAATATCGCTTGAGGCAGTGGCTGCTGGGGACTGATTATGACCTAAATACCCCTCATAGCCTTCGGTGTTAACTATGTGACTGTAGAGAGCTGTGCCTTCATCCAACAGATTATCGAGGTCAGTGGAACACGGTACAGACGCAAATAGATTTGAGCTATGGGACACAAAATATATGAATGACCAGAGCTACGGCTGTACATTGAATTCCATTAAACGGTTGAAAAATACTACAGCCTTGATGCAAATTCGCTGACACACTACTCCGATTTTGCTTTGACTTTGCTACCAAATGTTTCACATGTGGTTATGTGCGGTGCACTGATTAAAAAACACACACGGGGGACTTGGTTAATTCAAAATACGGAATATAACTATTCCAAATATTTCCAGTGAACATGAGTAGCCAAACAATCAAAAGTGTGGTATGTAGAATATGGAATTCAGCCATATTACATTTAAATTGAGATGTCGTCGTTGTTCATGAATAAGCATATTCAGAACATAATTTTTATTATGCTGTTATTTACGATCTCTGGAGCACAGTTCTTCTTTTGTATACACCGTGAAAATCAGAAAATTAGTCCTTGAGGAAAAAAGGACATCGGATTACACATGAATGGTTTAATAATGTCAGCTAATGACCAGAAACGGTCAGATGCATCAATTAACTACATAAAGACGATTTTGAAGTATCTCTTATTGCTGGAAAAGAATAGCATCAACATTCGACGCACATGATTTGTATGTTTTGTTTCCGTAAATGCGTGGCTTGAAATTTCAAATAAACCAACATGTCGACATACATGCCACAAATTTAACGTTTCCCGTATATTTCCCCGCCTTAAGGACGGGGAAGAATAAAGGAGGCCAGAGACCGCTTCATCTGTTATATATACTGAACAACAAAAGTTCCTGTGACATTGAATAAGATTTAATGCAAAGTTATGTTTTTTACCAAATCTGAAACAATTTCGTGTGGCATGGAGATTATATTGAAAAAAAAGAAGTGCAAAAGATATTCTGCAACTTGGTCTTATATTGAAATTGCAAAACTTATTGAACGCCCCTCGTATATTTATAAATTTATATATAATGCTATCTCGTGGGTGATGTACTTCCATTGCCACTGCTTTATAATACTGTATTATTGCTATTTGCTTACTACATCACTACAATCTCAACATTTGGAAGATCTTCTCGTCTGTAACTCGTCAGCGTATCTTCTGACAAAAAGATGAAACTTTCAGTATTCGTTAACGCGTATGCATAAATGCTAAGATGTTGAAATGTATTCTACAGTCAGAATATATGAACCATCATATGCTGATATGTTAATGCATTCTATTAACCATTCATCCTTTACTGACATATTTATATAAATGTAACGTTTGTCATTTAATGTAATACTCTATTTCACAAATCGTTTCCATTGGCAACATAGACAAAGGCAACATACAGTACAATTGTGAGCTACAGGATTGCCGTTTTTATAATAACGATTCATGTAGAGTGAGTGAGTGAGTGAGTATGGTTTTATGCCTCTTATAGCTACATATCACAGCGGGTAAAATACAGCTTTATACAACGAGGCCTACAAATCCGACAGAGTGACCTACAAGTGTATGAATCCTGTCACACAAAAGACCACTACGATCGTTCGTCCTCGAGCGAGCAACAACAAGCTGCTGAATGTAGCAGTTGTTGGATTATGTAGTGGAGTAGTAACGCTGAGTGTCACCTCTCTTGTATATTTGGTCAATTCTAAAATCAGACAGTTATCAATCTACCTCTGACATGTTGCATCCATGGTCTTGAAACTGATAACGGAGTAATTCTTGTATCTTTTACTGCAAAGTCGTTCAAATATCGTTTTATGAATTTGCTTACGGAAACTGTATGCATTTTATGGTATTGTTCAGTTCTATATCACAATCTAAACTGACCTAGCTCGTGATCATGAGACTATTGCAAATGGATACATAGTCAAACATTCAATAGGATGCACAGCTCGTTATGATAAAAGACATTGTCCGGAACGAAGAAGCATGGCGAGTTGTGTTTAACACTGCATGTACTTGTGTTATGTTAATGACTGCTCGTTATCTCAAAGAATGGATGCCATTTAAGCGGTTTCAAACCTACAACCTTCTGATGTTGCAAAAATGGTGAATAAATGATGAATGTATCGCAAACCCTCCCCTATCTATGGGTTTTATTATGTTTAAAATATATTCAGCACAAACCTTCCCTCACTCACCCTAAGTAATGAATATAGCATGCCTATGTTACAAATACTCCACCTCTATAGTTTAACTGATGTATATGATATTATTCACACAGGCCTTCCACACCCACCGTTGCAGGTGAAGTATTTATTAATATGTTCAAAAATATAGCTTAAATTATCATGTGAGGGATGTTTTTTTTCCATCTTTTAACTATTTGCTGCAACATGATGATGTCTGCGTGTTTTTCCTTTGCTTTTATACACCTATGTGGCCTACAATACACATATTGACTGTTATGTTGTGCATGAGTGTTCAAGACAAAGTTTCGTGTGCCCGTATATCTTGACTGGTGTTATCAGTGTAAGATCAATATAGATTGCCCTAATCAAACACTGTGAAAGCCTCTCTCGCTGGTGATAGTATATCCTGACCCCTCCCCGGTGGTCTAGCAGTCCAAGGGCAGATGACGAATTATGTCCCTTAGCGTGTATTATTGTGAGTTATTAACTGGAGTAACACCCTGAGCCGACTCTTTACTTGGCATCAATACCCACAACCTTCACTCACTCACGTGTGGTAGAAATAACATTATCTATGTGACATTCTTACACTTCTGATCTTTCTATATTTGCTGATAACAGCATGTACCCCATGATTTATAGAAAGCATCATTACACACATAAATAAGTAAAGTGAACGATTTATTTGTCATAAAATGTACCAGTGGTGCTTAAGATGATAACGCTTCAATCGAATCTGTACTTATGTCATATAGACATATGTGGTAAATTTATCGGCTTTAAGTAAGCACTGGCTGAAAATTAGACCATCCTCATTCCTGTGTTGCTAAGATGCAATCTGTAGTTGTCTATAAGTTGCGATTCTATAATGCAGACAAGTCATTCAACTACTGAGAGTTGACGTTGAAGACGGCAACAGAGTAAAAGGTATGGGATACTTTTATTGGGGTCCGTGTTACATCTCAAGTTTACAAACAACTGTAACTTAAGTGTATGTACATTTCTAATTTCAGACATTTCTGGCGGTTTATCAGTTTGATCAACCTTTGATCATTGTTCAAGACGAAATCGATAATGAGTTTGTCTTTGATCTGCGCCCTGCTCCTGACTGCCGAACTGGGAGCTTTGGCTCAGGACAAGCACTTCATGGGAGGGTCGCTGACATTCAAGTTTATAGATGCATCCAAACCAAATGCGCATCAGGTACCTTTTACTTTACTATCATAGGGGCGGTCGGGTAGCCTAGTGGTTAAAGTGTTCGCTATTCACGCCGAAGACCCGGGTTCGATTCCCGACATGGGTACAATGTGTGCAGCCCATTTCTGGTGTCCCCCACAGGGATATTGCTGGAATATTGCTAAAAGCGGCGTAAAACCATACTCACTCACTTTAATATCATAGTTATGCAATCATTGCAAAAAATCGTGTTAATTTATTATCTTTGCTAAGTTTATGAACAACTGGTTTGCCTGTTTGCTGGTTGTAGACGTAAAATCAATCATCGACTCAATGATATACATTGTAGCAACCATCAGGTCAAGGTTCACATGTACATGAGAACACACAAATTGCTAGTTAGAAGTTGATATCACTGGTCATCATTAACTAAGTTCTGAATGGCACAATGGCTCCAAAAAAAAATCACAATTATAATAAAGATCTTTATATTAATATGCCTTTATAACTTCATAATCTGTTTAAAGGGGGAGCACTCATTATTGTTCTGTGTGAGATACCACGGTGGTGTCTCAAATAACAAAACTGTAATAGATATTTCCCATCAATGAAAGGGGTCAGCCTTTAACCTCTCAAATAACGAATGGGTTGTTCCTAGAATAAATACATATCATGCCAGTAATTTGTCGAGGTTGTTAACATGGTAATGTGGCATTTTGCGGACACGAGACATTTCGTAACATCTACAGCACAGCGAGTACATACTTCTTATGACAGTCGGAACAAAGACAGTGAGATTCTAAGAACACATTCAACTACTCCAGGATGTCATAATGGCCCCATCCTCTAAGGGAGATAAGATGTGTACTGTTCATTTTGGGCAGATAGAGAATTAAGTGTCACAAGTTGTGAATTTACTCAGACAAACAAATGCGGTTAAATGATGTTTTCTTATAGTTTAATGAATTCTACCAAATGGAATTTACCCGGGGTATCGCACGTTTTTATACACTTTCTTTTATTTTCTTCTAGGTTGAGTTAACTGTCGTTACCGGATGGGTTCTAGGCGAAGGGCCTTGTGGAGAACACTGTTCGACGAAAGACCTCGGAAGGAGCACAATCACATCTCGGAAGATTATGACAGACTTATATGGAGATGCATATTTTGGAAACTGGACTTCGGAGACTAATTACCTTCATGGAAATATCTCTTTCAGGACAATAACTGACAAAGTATCAAAGGGACTAGTGACTGAAGAAATACTATCGGTGAATGTGCCTCTCCGATGGGAACAGGAAGTTGCTGAAGTCGTTTTGGAAGTCGACCCTGCTGCCCAATATACAGATCTTGTGTAAGTTTGTTACATATTTTCATACAATAGATAGAGTTATCGATCGAAAACCTCTAGTCTCTGGGAACTACCTTTCTGAAGCTCCATGCATCGATGCACTATCGGGATATCTTCATCATTTTCTAACACCTGGTGTCACCACTATTTGATTGTTATTCTTAAGCACATGCCCATGATTAAGTCGGAATGGTATAATGGAGATTTATTATGATTATGGAAATGGCTTTGTCGCTTTTAGTTGCATACGATCTATCAAGGCTCCTTGACTGAAATGTTGTCAATATGGATAACGCCTGATTCAATCATCCATAAGCAAACATAAGGCCCAGATTCCTAGATTCTGAAACTATGCTCTCGCCATCATCCTGGAAAGCACTATGGAGATGCTATTTGCCCTGTGCTGCACAAGAGTCAACTCGTGCAATGCAATAGAAAGTATAAACTTTGTTACACAGTGTTTTTTTCTTGGTAATATGATCTCCGCTTAATGTCTTCAAGATAAGCCATCCCCAGTCCTCTCTGCATAGGTACCAGCACTGAGCCTGTTAATGGAATGTCATTTTGTAACTTGAAACTCCACAATATCTGCTCGGATCCGAGCACATTCTGTCCACTGGAGGATATGATATATATGTCTATCCATCTGTATCTCTATATACGTCATGATCCATTAAGCTTGAGATGTGTAGGCCTGTAGACAGATTTCATTGGCTGCTGGTATTTAACAAAGGTAAACATTGCCTGTAACTTTCATTGAATTTCCAATCTTAAGTGGCAATGCAATCAAAGCCATATCATGCCATTAAGAAAATTGCAGAAATGGAAAGATACAACATATTTATATAATACACACGGTGCTAAAAACAAACTGAATATGCAAGGACTATGACACGTATGGCGGCCATCACAAACAAATTATTTCTATCACCTTAAGAGTAGAACGATCGTGTGTACTAACTTTCCGGTATTTTGCACATTGGTCTTCTAGCGATTTTCCATAATCATAAGAGATGTCTGCCAAAAGCAATATTACGTCACATTGATACACTGTTGAGAGAAATACCATATGACGAAATCCATTATTCATAATTGGTTACATGACATCTGAACAACAGGCTGACGTCAGTGACGTCTCTGTAGGATTAAAATTTGCACCGCCCTTACCATTATGGAAAAATTTGCACCGCCCTTACTATTATGGAAAACGCCAAAGACGTTCATGTACCACCCTACACTGCAGATGTGAAAATCAACAAACTCGAATCTGTTCAAACGGAGGGCTAGGTCAGCATTAGACTAAGACCACACAGCACGATCTACATTTACGCTAGAGATAGACAGGGAAGGTTGTTGTTCACATCTCGGATATTTTGGATGTTCATTCATAACCAAACACGTTCGAAGTGTCGAGATATTAACCCCAATCACAACTATGTTGCAAAAACGAGCTTCTTTAGTATTTGTCTTTCCGTTGGACCTACGTAGCAGCCGTATTTCAAAATTAACATATTAATCGAGGTTTCAACAAAATTAGCGAACGCGCTTTCGTGTCACTGGATTGTCTCGCAAAACTTGATTTTTTTTGTGGCCGCCGTCGTCCAGGCGGGGAACTATTGTGCGGCATAAGGCAACAAAAAAACACTTACAATTTCAGAAATGGCGGGTGCTACCGGTAGAAATGGGCATGCTTTAAAAGGATTTCAAAGAGCGTCATACGACACTTGCTCAGAAGTTGTTTGATGAAGGTTCAAAATTCAACACCTCAGTGAAACTTTCAAACTTATGGTAGATATGTGGAGGACATTTCCAAATTTGAGATATCGGTGACAAAAAATATTTCTGGTGCTTTTCCCTATTTTGACTTGTAGAATATGTTCCCGTGTTGTTTTATGTGAACAGTTGACCTGCCTTTGCATGTGTTTTTACGGTACCACCGGTGAGGCATGATACGCTCACCTTTTCGCGAACACCTGGTATCATCACTGTTTGATAGTGATTCATAAACACATGCTTACGAAATAGTCGGAGATCTGAGTGTCTATTCAGGCGTACATGTATATACAGTCGGTAGACAACCATTAGCTCAATGTCAGTGTCAGTATATTCTGATCAGTCTGTGGGCATTGCAACTGATTAATCATGTTGATGTTTTTTAAAGGATGCGTGGTATTTCCTGGAAAACCTATGATTATAACTACAGAGGTGATGGAATGTTTCATCTTCAAACAAAGATTAATGCACACGAACGAAATGACACCATGCAGGCGAACAACAGTCCCGTTGTTATGTTCAAGCCTTTATACAAGTAAGTCAACACATCTCGTGGAGTAGGTTATTGTTTTACGGTATAAGATAAATTCTATTTGGTGTTCAATAATTTTGTAAATTCGGTTTCGGCCCGTATTATATAAGCAAAGTATTTCCATGGACATGTATTGTATAATGTCAAATACAAACAAAATATAAGCAACTGAGTACATCCAGAACATCAATTCCTTTACATGTGCATTTTCAATTTGGTTATCTGGAAATGCCGATATTTCTGAACAGTTAATTGCAGTGATTTGGTTATGTCTATTTAACCATCACTCATTTTTTCAAACAATCACTCATTTTTTTCAAACCTAATCTGTGTCTGGGTAATTGTGTGTAAACTTAATTGGTGCAATAAAGACAGGGGTAAGAAATGAATTTACAACCACTGACCCCAACCATGTTAGAAATGTAAATTTGTGTACATTTATTGATTTTCATGGATAAGATGCCAAAAATATCCATCATGATGTGAAAATAACACCATATAGAAGAATGCATAGAGTACTGACTAAGCGCCAGTACCGTTAATTGATTGGATGTAATATCGCTAACTTAAGCTATTTTCAATTGAAAATAACAAATATGATAAAATCAACTGAGAGATATAGTTTCGGCTGCTCCTCAGTTTATAACATTTATACATAGTAGGTCGCGTAAGAGCATTATCTTCAATAGAGTAGTTCGATTATATTTGAACGCAACTATTTTGTATGGTTATGCAATCCATTTGTGATGTAGAATTCATATATTGTTGTAACAATAGGTTTATGTTAAATTATTACATATAATATGCTTCATAATTAGAACTGATGACAGATATACATATACCCCATATTTTGAAAACAAGACGTATAATTCAATGCGAAATCATTGCTTCTCACCCTGCCCCTAACAGACACGGACTTAAAAGGGTTTCAGGTCCACATTACTGGTATGTCTTGCAGAGTCCTCCTGAACAATTTAACAGTCATCAAACTCGCTACCTTGGACCAGGATGGGGATTATGTGCAATGTCAGCAGGCAAAATACAGAAACGCCGGTGGTGTACATCCACCGAACAACGTCACAATAAATAAGGTAGTTTTTTTCTGTGATAATACATGATGATATTCAGAACGTACATTGATTATTATGCTAAAACCGATTTAGAACGACGTGTAAATTTGAAGGACCTATTATATTATCAAACTATACATGGACTTCGAGCCATATAGATCTTTCGCAAGGCATCTTTATGTACACGTTATCACAGGGATGAGAGTGATCATATTTTCTATGATCTGATTTTAGGACTGCAGCATTGAAATCAAGGCTTATGAATCGGATCACTTCTTTGATGGAGGATTTGGGGCTATCGCCGTTCAGATCAACGACTATAACTCCAATCCTATAATACGGAAGGGTGAACGGTATCCATATCTTTTAAATGGACCATATCGGCAGGAGCTCAGCCAAGTAGTAGTTCAGGTAAGGACATATGTTATCCACACAAGATTTCACGATTTGGCAGATGTGTTAAATATATTATGATGATAGTCATAGTACTCAACTTTTGTACACAAAGGCCTGTGGCCTATATGTAGTCATGATTTTCATTAATTGTTTTATTTATCATTTCAGTTCATGATACAGACTTTAAAAATCATAGAGGCGCCTGAATTTGTGGCCCCAACAAAAAGCAGTCAGCATGTGTTCTACGTTTATGTTGGCTCAACACTGGAAATACCTCTCTACGCGAAGCCATACAAGTCACCTTCAAGGTACGCATTATGCTTAATACTGTATGTTTCTTAAGGACAAAAAGAAACCCACTTTCATCCTTATTCATTGGGATGCGCTTTTTTTCAGTAAGGTGGACTTCTTCAATTTGAGATCCATTCCAAGGCAACCATTTGTCATCCCACCACTAAAGTCAGACACGAATCGCACGAGAGATGACGTCAAGTACACCATAGTAAAATGGCGCCCACAAAAGCCTGACGTAGGATCCTATGTTATTGGTGCACTGGTTACAGACGACAAGGGGTAAAACTGACTCATGAGAATTATTTCATTATTTTTCGGGTTCATAGTAAGAGCAAGTTTCATTTAACTGGAAGACAAAGGACAACGCATTACCTACATACTATCTGAAAAATACAACTGAATTTTGATCTTTTCAGCAATAACTTATCCTGAAATGAGCTGATTTAGTGGGGTAGTTATTTTGTATATCGGAAAAGAACTTGCACTTGATTGGCTTGAGACATACTTAAGACGTAGTTAATCTTATAGAGAGTTTAACTAAATTTGACAACTACACTTAAAATATTCATCCGATCTCTACAAATATAAAGCGTCGATATCGTCACGGTATGGCTGAAATATTGCCGATGTGACTTAAAGCATTAACTCACTCACTCACTCACTAAAACGTCAATACAAGAGAATAACCAGTTTTGATTATCCGCGGAAATAGATGATTCCATTTGGCGTAAATGATAAAATAGCCGTGAAAACTATATGAATGGGCCACTGAAACAAAAGATGACTCCAGTGCTAACGAATATATGAGATGTCACTTCACTGAAATATTTGTAAATGTATCTACTGTCACGCTCTTTTTCTATTTCTGGTTTCAGAAACGACGGATCTGATAGAAACTACAACATCATAGTCAAAGGTAGGCTCTTTGATATTCTTATCAAGTCATTGTTATGTGGAATATGTAAGCGCTTTATACATGGTATTGTCTATTAAATGTGCATTCACCCGTCCATTCTTATTTTCCAGATATAAACGTCACCACACCTGACGTTGTACCTGCAGTAAGTACATGTATATAAGTATGTTTGATATGCACCTAAATGAACTGCTTAGCCTGGATAGTTATATCCTGGGATGAGACAACTTTAACTTCTTAGTATTAAAGACTAGAATTATGCAAAATGTCATGTGCATTGGAAGGGTGTTCCACTCCTCATTCTTTGCATTTGAAATATGTGAAATAAAGAATACATGGTGACTACTTTTCCTTTTCTCAGAATCGACCATACTTTCCGTTATTCCCTGATGGGGAAGGAATACAGTGCCTACAGAATTCAACGTGTTCCTTTCCTATCTATGCTGCAACTGAGCGTAGTGGGTACGAAAATTCATAATAGTACATTCACCTGTAGTACTGATCTTAAAGCTTAAATGGAAAATGTCTATGTAACAATACATTCCAGCCAAATTAATGCTAACAAAATAATTCTCAAAAGGAAGCAGAAATCATGTTTACAAAATAGATATTATACATGTCAACATACTGTTGTTAGCAATATAAGGTGATGATGACAGAGGTAAATCATTAAAAAGTGATAATATACAATATTGTACAGACAAATACATACAGTTTCACATATTGTTTGAACAGTGGAAGGATCGCATCTTTGAAGTACACAGCTTCAAATTTGAAGGAAATCCACGTTGCACCGCCAATACCTATCACCATACATGGGCTGGACATGTTTGTGAGTGACGTGTCCTTAACATCTTCTCAGATAGGAAGATGGGATTTATGTTTCCGGGCGCTTGATGACCGTGGGTAAGAAAATATATTCATTATACTCACCCAAACAGGAATATGCTTAATTGGACAATTCGCTTAATTCGACAATTTCTTATCCTTATTCTACCTGTATATATTGTAATTTATTCTCATAAATTATGGAGGATACATCATGGAAAAATATTTACATAACTGTTGCATACCTCGTTGTTTTGCAGTGCACAATCGGAAGAACGATGCCTTAGAATTTCAATGGAAGTAACTGGTTAGTTAACTACGATACTCATTCTATTTTGGATGTTTAATTGGGCTTAATTAAAGCATTATGTATCCGTTTATTTTGTATTTAAATCTCTGCAAAAAAGCATACATTTCAACGCAGATTTATGAAAACAATTAATTCAAACAACCTTTTCCCCTGGCAAAATCTCAGATCAAAGGAATATAATATTATCCTTTAGCAATATTTTACTGTGCTACACCCCTAATTACAAATAACTCACTTCTTGTTTCTGTATTCTTTCAGTTATATAAGCTCATTCAGCATATATTAACATTGAACTTTTAAAAACTTTTTTTTCAAACATGACATGCATTCTACATGCTTGTGAAAGCCTTTCGACTTAGCAAATTTGAGAAATTGTCTCGTTTCACCGTTTAGAGGAGGTAGCCATTTTGTACAAGGAGGATTGGCAGCGAGATTATGACATCACTGACACCGCGAACATATTACAAACATAACGTAGAACACAAATTAAACAAATTGATACAAACAATCTGTCTGCTTATACGAATTCTGTGTCAAGTACCAGATAGAGCTGGATTCAAAACGATTTACGATTTAGAAAACTCTACACTGACAAGATAAAGCCAGCTGAGCGCTCCGAGCAGTTGACGAAGATTCGGTTTAGAAGGTCATCTGTTGATACAGAACGAAAACTTCCTATTGCTTCAAACTTGGCTCCTGTCTGAACTTATCCCTTATGACTGCGCGAAAACTATATACGCTTACGGGTGACGATGATCCATTAACAGGATCTCTGAGCTTTTCAATTTCATCTTCTCTCGTACTTATTCATGTACATTTAAACATGTCAACGCGAGAGAACACCCAGTCTCGACCATCCGACAAAACTGCTTCTATGTGGGATGTGGCAAAATAGCGGAATCCTGCCCCACCGGTAGCACCCGCAACTCACACAATTTGACTACAAAAGTATGTGTCTATTGCCTGACACAGTACTCCTGCCATGCGAAGGCGGCAGGTAAACAAACCAGACAACCAAGTGAACGATGGACCGGAAAATCAGGTGACACAATAGCGCAGAAGCATGATTATTGCTGATTACTCTTGAGCCTAAATTATTTACCCAATAATTGGCACACATACAATAACTGTGATATTTGACCGGAATATCCCTTTAAGACAATTACGCTCGGTTCATAAAGATCATCTGCCCTATAAAGCTAAAGTTTACCTACACTCTGTACATGTCTATTTATAGATCCATGCAATTCAACTCCATGTAATCATCGAGGGTCATGTGAAAGTAATGGCACATCCTTCAACTGTAACTGTTTCCCCGGAATTACCGGTCCCCTCTGTGAAACAGGTATTTGTAAATAAATAACTTACATGTACATGATTGGAAATGTGCGTATACAGATTTGGAAAATACCCTTCAAGGAATTCAATGGTGACGTGAAGTATTTGTTATCCTGAAGCGAACACAGATTAAGTATTTAGAAAATCTATAAACATCAACATGCTTCTTGTTAAAAAAACGTTCAACTTCCTAATGGTTCAAAAGTTTGTATTCTAAAGTTATTGCTATGTTACATCTCAAGTTCAATCATTTATGAGGTTAAGCTGTTTGACAAAATAACGTCAACGTCATTGTGTACACAGGAGTGATGCTTTGTGATCGAATACAGTTTTTTTCATCAGCTATCGACGAATGCCAAAGCAACCCCTGTCAACACAATGCTACCTGTCTCAACACTATGCCGCGTTTCTATTTCTGTGTTTGTCTTGCGGGGTTTACTGGAAAGAACTGTGAAACAAGTAAGTAATCAAAAATATACCCTACTCGTCTGCTGCGCGTCACAACTTCTGGGAAGTTATTTTTTGTCTTATTGTTTGACTGTTTCTTCTTTACATTTAAATAAATAGAAGCGAAAAAAACCTTTCCATATTCATCCGCCAAAAACAGTCCGCTGTACGAATCTGACTATTTCATGAGCATGTGTTTATGAATCACACGTGAAAAAGCTATGATACTAGATATTCGCGAAAAAGTTAGCGTATCCTGCCCAACTGGTGACAAGTCACAAACACATGGAAAGGCAAATAAGTTGTTCACCTTCTAAAAGCCACGGGAACAGCGGTACAAGACAAATTGGGAAATTGATTCAATTTTAGAAATGTCCTCCACATGTCTACCAAAAAACTTATTAAAAGTTTTACTGAGGTCTTTAATGTTGTAACTTTGATCAAACAACTTCTGACTCCCATGGGGCTCTTTGAAATCTTGGTAGAAGGAGCATGCTCGATTGTACCTCAACAGTTGTGAAACATAGACACCAAAGGCTGGAGTTGCAGGAATGCTGCTGCATACAAATGGAAAGTAGACTACTGGAAAGTTGAAAGTTGGAAAGAGCGCTTTATCACTCTGAATCTTCATGCATACATCTAAATATGAAACAGATGAGGGGGCTTCACTGGTCTGCTTTATTTGTACTTTTAGAAATTGGCGATTTTGATGTTTATTGAACGATATCAGATCATCGATATACCTTAAGATTAAACGTTACCTTGTTTTGCCTTTGGCAATCCGAGGCGACATTCCGATTCATAGGTATAAAGAAAGAGATCAACAAGGAGGGGAGCACAATTGGTACCTAAGGGGATGCCTCCTGCTTGCGTAAATGTCTTACCCCAATTTTTACATGTATGTTATCAATGAGGGAGTGCAGCTTGTCGCATATTGTTTTCTCAGTAAATTTGAGATGGCATTTGCTTTTATTTTTGACAAACTGTCCTGAACATCGGAAGATAGATCTGTGTTCACAACATTTTGTAACAAAACCCTCATGAATCAAGGAATTAATTTTTTCCTTAAGTTTGTCATGTGGGATAGTGGTGTACAAAGTTGGAAAATCAAATATTTTGACAAAATTGAACTTGATCCCTTTGAATTTTCGAGAATCCAAATGGTATAAATTTCACTTGTCTCAAATACTTTCTGTAAATATAAAGACAGTCCTTCCTTGATTGTATTAAGGAATATTGCTACTCTTTGAGACAGGGATTTGCTGGATCCAGCAATAATTTTCTCTTTGTACGGATATGTATGTAGCTTTAGAATCCAGTGCAAAAGGGGAATTGACATGTCTTCAGGTTTTATGTTTTAGAGTCAAGCCAAACGATCCTCAGTTAACATACCTAGTAAATGCTAAATTATTTATAATCCATGAAGTGCAGATGAACCCTCGTACTTACATATACTTGTATATTGATATAGATATTTATCAAAAACTTTGATTTGATTGAAGTTTCATTTTTTATCAGAAAATTATTAACACCTGATCTTTATAGAAATTTTGACATATAACTATGTATGTTTCCTATTAACAGACATTCCCATGATTGTTTTAAATGAAACAAGTGAATACGTAAACTACAATGCGTGACATTTTAAATATTAGATCTTTGTGGGATGTGTTCTTTTAAGTTCATATAAAACGCACTCTACTTCTGCTATCGACGGATGCCAAAACAAGCCATGTCAACACAATGCAACCTGTTTTAGTGCTGGCAATCCTATGCTGCCTGGCACTTATGTCTGCATGTGCAGTATGGGCTTCACTGGAATAAACTGTGACCAAAGTATGTTAATAGAAATATGAACACACTGAAGAGTGTGATCCTATTCTAGCGAGCGCCCTTGTTTTATAGCCCCGTTATGTTAGAATTAACATTGACGCTGTGCTGTAATATGTTTGACCCCCGTAGATAGAGTAACGTCTCCGAAATGACAAAGCGTTAATATACCTGTCGTTTTACTATTCAAATGTACAATATTCTTTTCCGTAATTCTACTTTCTATTACAAAACGACCCGTGAAGATCCGGGGTAGAATAGATCTTCAGCAACCCATGCTTGCAGTAGCAGGCGACCCGGGATCGGGTGGTCAGGCTCGCGGACTTGGTTGATGCATGTCATCGATACCAATTGATGTCAATGCTCATGATGTCAATCACTGGATTGTCTGGTCCAGACTCGATTATTTACAGACCGCCGTCATATGGCTCGAATATTGCTGAGTGCGGCGTTACAAAACAAACCAGCCAACCAGCCAACTATTACAAAACAGAAATAACACGCCCGTGTGATGTATAATATTGCCCCAGTAATATAGTAAACGTTTAGAAAAAAAAACACAAACATGTAATAAGAAGTAGCAGTTAAAACACAAACATTATAATAGTTGAAATGTCCAAGAGGACAGTGTAATGAAGAGCCTAACATATTCGTGAAAACGGGAAAATGATTGAGAACATCTTAATAGTGTATACTATCGACCCCGCTTTGTCTCTTTCACTGATGACACCGAAACTGGTGTTAACCCATCATGTAAACGTCCGTTTAAAATATGTCGAATGCGGGAGAGTATAGCTTTAATACCTCGTACCATGTGAACTACTCGATCTTAAATTGTTATCTATTCGGCAAAGGTCAACACACACACCCTCCCCTACCCCACCCAACCCCCTCGTTTTACAAAGGGCATTGCATGTTAGTGCTGATGTTAATTGTTTTTTTCTTATTTGAAGGATTACGCAATTAGATAGACATAAAAAATAATATCTAACTGTTACAATCTGTATTATGCATTCAATGTATGAATTTCAATGTTTGCTAATCCACTTGTACATTTTTCAACTTTCATCAACATCATTCATGTTCATATCATCATTTCATATCATTTTGTTTTGAATATATGATCTATGTGTGTTTCTTGAATTTGCCAATAACACTGAATTGTATTTGCCTGAATTTGTGTTACTCTATTTACACGTGACGGTGATATAATATGTGTTGTATACTTATATTTTCCTTTTTATTTTTTCAGGTGATGATCACAACGTGCATAACTTAGACGTGCATAAATTAGAATTGATCATAATTTGCAATGATGTCAATGGTCATAATACAACACTTTGTGGTTAATGATCGTACACACTGCTGCCATTACGTGATATAACTAGTTCGCTACCAGACACTCCACGTTTCATATGATCCAGTGTGGTCAGTAACCATGCCAATGTATATCAATACCTGAACATTGATGTCTATCGACTTTACTGCCTGAGTTATAAATTAGAATTATAAGTGAAATTACGATTTGATTCCAACCTTATTATGATTTAAATGCGGTTTTCGTGGTGCCCGAATTTCTGTATCTGTGTTTTGAATGGTTGCTTTGTGTTGCAGATTTCTGTAATTTAGCTGGCAAAAGGAGTCATTCTGTGTACAAACGTTGAACCAACACACGTAAGTTGTGACCTGTGGATAAAGCCTTTCCTAATCAAGTTATATGTCATCAGAGGGTCAAAACTGAATCAGTACAGTAATCCGAATATTTAGACACGGAAGTAGTACGCAATATTTTCTAGCTTCAAACAATGACATTCATAACAGATGTATTTATCACATTAAAGCATATAGAATAAAATAGGTAAATATATGGTGATATGTTTGACATTCAGGCGTAAATCTAGTGAGAATATGTCATCGTATTCAAATGATGGTTACTGTTGTTAATGTAGCGTTGATTCCATTCTGAGTTTGCCCATAGTACTTTCGTGTCGACCCGTGAAGATTCCGGGGTAGAATAGGTCATCAGCAACCCATACTTGCCGTAAAAGGCGACTTTGCTTGTCGTAAAAGGCGACTCACCGGATCGGGTGGTCAGGTTTGCTGACTTGGTTGATGCAGGTCATCGATCCCAATTGCATGGATCGATGCTCATAATGTCAATCACTGGATTGTCTGATCCAGACTCGATTATTTACAGACCGACGTCATATAGCTGGAATATTGCTGAGTGCGTCGTTAAACAACAAACAAACAAACACAAAAACAAAAAAAACTTTCGTGTCCATGCGCGTGTTCGTGGGGCCATCAAAGTAGTAACATCTAGGACAAGCTGAATCGTTACCTTCCATGAGAAACCAAAATTAAACAGTTCAACGGACGTTAAATCCAACTTTTTCACTGCAGAACAAGCATAATTAATTCAGATCGGTTTAGAAATTCTTTTCAGTTAACAAGAAACCTGTGTGATGAAGTTGAGATGAGAACGTGTTCAAAAGGGGACTATGTATTTGAATTGACGATTCATTTCATCGTTGATGTTTTTCTTAGATCAAGCGAGGCCAACGGCTGGATCCTGTTCCCCAAAAGAGCACTGCACTCGTTTTATCCTCAAGTGATCAACAGCAAACTGCTGAATAAATAACATCGTTCGGTTCGGCAGCGGTGTAGTGACGCTCCCGAAAAATCCAAAATATTTTTTGAACGGCGTTCTTTTTACAATCGAATGAATGTCAGTAACAGCAGTGTATGTTTTGTGTTTCTCAGTCCATAATCCCCATCCACTTCATAATACTTGTGTTATATGACCTAATTTGCATATGGCAAACAAAAGTGGAATAAAACATTATACATCAAACCAGGTGTTATGTTTAATGACTGTTCGTCTTCTCGGTTGTTGAATTCAAAACCCTTAAGTTATTTCATGAGTTCGCATGACTTACTAAAATTTACATAACTACACCAAGAAGGTTGAATATTAGACACACTTACTGCTAGCAATTGAGGTTCGTGGTTGATCATCTGAAAATTTTCGAAAACTTCCATACCCCATGTACAACATACCTTGTATAAACACACTCACCCTTCTGTCCCTCAAACTGATAACCTCAACAACCTACATTTCGTTGTTCATTCCTCCGGTGTTAATCTCAACAACAGTCACTCACATGTAACCGATATACGACTTTGGAGATATTTCTGTGACACAGTTTTTAACTTGTGTTCTTCACTTGCTGCCAACAACGTTTGAAGTATGACATTCTCTTTATCCCACGGACTTCAGGAAACTTTACAAACGTTGATTACTTAACTGAACGATTTATGTGTCACAAAATGGATTAGTGAAACTTGTGATGATTACATTTCAATCGATTCCTCGCTTTCATCGTAACGATATATGTCAGCAAGGAGATTTGCATAAATTTTATAAGCTTTGAAAACACGTACAAAGAGAGAGACCCTTGAAGATCCGGGGTAGAAAAGTTCTTCAGCAACCCAGGCGACTATGCTTGTGGTCGGGTGGTCAGGCTCGCTGACTTGGTTGATGCATGTCACCGTATCCCAATTGCGTGGATCGGTGCTCATGATGTCAATCACTGGATTGTCTGGTCCAGACTCGATTATTTACAGACTGCCGTCATATGGCTGGAATATTGCTGAGTGCGGAGTTAAACAACAAACAAACAATAGATATATTGCTGGGGTTCATGACGGTTAGCAACTTATTATTAACGGATTTTGTGAGAATCTTTCTCGAAATAGGTCATGCATGTGTCTCGCTTCATTCAGATTAACAGGGGGTCGTCTACAAAGCAAAGAGAAAATAGTTCAGGGTTGATGATTTATTAAATAGCCTACATGAGCGTAAACATTGACATATATGACAGTTAATTTTCATTATTTTTCCTTGCAATATCCATATACATATACACAGTCACATTATTCAGACGTGTTCCTTTAGACATTCAGATTTTAAGCAGGTAGGAAGCTTGGTAGCCAGGAAGCCACGAAGCCAGGAAGTTGTCTCCAAGGAATAAGTGTCAACACGGTACAACATAGAAAAAATCTCTAGATCTCAGGATTGGCACTGTAGTAGAACGGGGTCTGCACACTTGCTTTCTACTCAATACACACTGGGTGAAGTGGCAGAAACAACCTTTCTAAGTGGCATCTGGGAAGGCCTTCTTGTGCGCTAATCTGGAATAACAGGTAGTCCAGGGAGGGCTTTCTGTCTATCTCGGCAGGGGAAGTCTTTTTTGGCATGGACAGTGGCCATGGCAGCAACTAGATATCGTGTCCCAATAATCGCCCAAAATGTTTTGGACACTTCCAGATCGTCCATTCAGCTTGTTTCAACAATTGAAATTCGTGTTCAACACCTGCTGACAGTAGGAATATAATATGAAAGTGCAATTACAAGTAGAACTACACCCAACTGAACTCCATTCACGAATGAATCTGTTCGTATCTTCGGATCCGGGCGCAGGAAGATATATTGCTGGTCCCAGCAAATATACTATAAAATTCATGCAATCAAGGAAGGACGTTCTTTACATGCATAGAAAGTATTTGAGACAAGGATTCTAAAAAACTCAAAGAATTTGTTTGAATTTTTTGTAATCTCAGAATCCTACAAAGTTCTATTATGTCAAAACACTTGACTTTTCAACTGTGTTCACCACACGACAAACGTTTCATAAGGGAGAACTTCATTACCTTGATCTACAGGGCAGTTGTCACTGAATGAAGTGATCACAGACATAGTTAATCATTATATTCAAAGGTTCGTGAAAATTTGTCAAAATTGAAAGCCAGTGTCGTCTAAAGTATAAAAGAAAACAATATGTGAAATGCTGGAAACATCACGAAATAAAAAAAGCTATTTTGTTTCAATTTCTATCATTTCTATTGAAAGACAGGTGCGGCAAATTGTAACAAACTGCGGCAAATTTTAATACCAAGTGCGGTAAATTGATCTTGTTAAGGTCCAACAAACACTGGAACTCGCATTCAGATTGGAATCGGAAGGATTAGGAGATGTTATTACAATTTACCGCACTTGGTATTACAATTTGCCGCACCTGTGTTTCAATAGAAATGATAGAAATTGAAACGAAAGAGCTTTTTTTATTTTCTTAAACATGCTGGAGGTTGGAATTGATCTTGTTAAGGTCCAACAAACACTGGAACTTGAATTCAGTTTGAAATCGGAAGGATTAAGAGATGTTATTACAATTTACCGCACTTGGTATAACAATTTACCGCAGTTTGTTACAATTTGCCGCACCTGTGTTTCAATAAAAATGATAGAAATTGAAACAAAATCTCTTTTTTTGATTTTCTTAAACATGCTGGAGGTTGGAATTGATCGTGTTTAGGCCCAACAAACAATGGAACTTAAATTCAGATTGAAATCGGAAGGATTAGGAGATGTTATTACATTTTACCGCACATGGTATTACAATTTGCTGCAGTTTTTTACAATTTGCCGCACCTGTCTTTCAATGGGAATGACAGAAATTGAAGCAAAATCGCTTATTTCATTTTCTTAAACATGCTTGGGATTGGAATTGATCTTGTTATTACAATTTACCGCAGTGGTTATTACAATTTACCGCAGTTTTATTACAATTTACGTCGTAACAACACTTTCAAGATGTTTTATCAGACCAAAAAACGATGGCTGATGCTATGTCCTATTTTGATTCGTACCATACCATATGGTCACGTGTTTCTTCAGGTGAATGAATTAACTTGTCTTTGCAGGTATTTGACGCGGGTGTCATTGGGTCAGGATACGTTCACCTTGTGTCATAATTTTTTGATAAATATATACTGATGATATAGTCGGAATCATACAAGGAAAGGGTATTGTCGCTTTTATTATCATAAAAGATTTTCAAAGCTCTGAATATTTATGCATAGATCTACATGTACATATGAAACTGTGGGTTCATTTGATTCTTTTATTTCTTGTTCAGGTGGGTAACTCAACATTTACAAGACATAAGTCAACAATCACATGGAACACGGTATGTGCATATTCTAAGAAGTTACCACACTCCCGTAACATTACCACACTGAATGTGATGAATCTGTCTTGAAAAACGCAATGACACTTCTTCATGGTGGCATTCGATATTTATCTTAAGTTGTCTAAATTGTTGATAAAATTGTAGTAGACAAGACTTATATATAGCATCTGTAAATATAATAGTGTTTGTCTCGTAACTCAGTGGTACATTTTGTGCCGTACACAGCACAGCACTGAATGGAAAAATAAAAGTTTAACATGGGCAAGAATATAAAATATCAGCGTGAAATAAGATTGCAGTGGGAATGCACGTATATACACTTTTTTGCAAAAAATACATAAATGTCCTATTGAAGTAAATATCAACTTATACGTATCAAATTCCCTTCTATTGATTTATCCATCTGAACAAGGAATAACAGAATCAGGTGAACCCACCTCAGCAGTTTTATATGTACCTTTAGATATATGCATAAATATTCAGAGAATTTAAAAATCTTTTATGATAATAAAAGCGACAAAACCTTTCAAAAATTCTTGTATGATTCCGCCTTTTTCATTATTATATGTTTATGAATAACTATAAAATGTAGTTATGACACAAGGTGAGCGTATCCTGACCCAATGGCACCCGCGTCAAATACCTGCAAAGACAAGTTAATTCATTCACCCGAAGAAACACGTGACCATACGGTACATCTGAAATCTTCGTAGATAGATTTTGCCGACAGATTATTGTCACTCTGTTACCAGCATTTCACATATTGTTTTCTCTTAAACCTCAGACGACATTGCCTTTCAATTTTGACAAATTTTCACGAACCTTTGTAGACAGAGATTAACTATGTCTGTGGTCACTTCGTTCAGTGACAACTGTCCTAGCGATCAAGGAATGAAGTTCTCCCTTATGAAGTGTTTGTCGTGTGTGTACAAAGTTGAAAAGTCAAGTGTTTTGACATAATAGACAGAAAGCCCTCCCTGGACTACCTGTTGTTCCAGATTAGCGCACAAGAAAGCCTTCCTGAGATCTAGAGATTTTTTCGATCTTGTACTGTGTTGACACTCATTCCTGGCTACCAAGCTTCCTACCTGTTTAAAGTCTGAATGTCTAGATATCTACTTGCTGCCATGTCGACTTTCCATGCCAAGAAAGACTTCCTCTCCCGAGCCAGACAGAAAGCCCTCCCTGGACTACCTGTTATTCCAGATTAGCGCACAAGAAAGCCTCCCTGAGATCTAGAGATTTTTTCGGTCTTGTACTGTGTTGACACTCATTCCATTGAGACAACTACCTCGCTTCGTGGTTTCCTGGCTACCAAGCTTCCTACCTGTTTAAAATCTGAATGTCTAAATGAACAGGTCTGCATAACGTGACTGTGCATATGTATACTGAACCAAATTAGAAATTCACAATCCTAAAATTTTAACATTTTGACCAGTTATCATTGTGGGCCCTTATTATGTATTTAAACAGTAATGGCCACGTATTGTCTTCAGATAACACCCGTTTTTTGTGCAGGTGAATCGATCAAAATCATGTGCAGAGCAAAAGTGGTTTTTCACGTGCAACTGGTCACGTGGCCATAATACCGCGCGTGTTTTCAGCAAAACTTGTTAGCAGTCATTAACAAAAAAAGAAAAACACAAGAAAACAAAAGTCTTTACGGCCATTTGTCATGCAACGCCTTTCAAATGTGCAACGTGAACGTGCCATCGGCATGTTGCAGACGGGAACGTCCGTAGCTGAAGTCGCAAGGACGATGGGTTGTAGTCGACGGACTGTTTATGATTTACAGACACGTCTACAGCAAACGGGTA